CTCATGAGGGGATACCTGGGTGGCTCAGCGGTTTAGTGCCTGCCTTTGGCCCAAGGCGCAATCCTGGAGACTCGGTATCGAGTCGGGCTCCTGGCATGGAGCCTGCTTCTCCCTCTGCCTGTGTCTCTGCCTCTCTCTGTGTGTCTTTAATGTCTCTCTCTCTCTATGTCTATCATAAATAAATAAATCTTTTAAAAAAATAAATTAGGCTCATGAATCACTAACTGAATCAAAATTATAAAAATGAACCATATATTAAAATTGCATTTTAAATAATTTATGTATACTTGGTATATCACTTTGATATAAAATAAGTATCTATTCTCAGGGCAGCCCCAGTGGCCCAGTGGTTTGGCGCTGCCTTCAGCCCAGGATGTGATCGTCGAGATCTGGAATCAAGTCCCATGTCAGGCTCCCTGCATGGAGCCTGCTTCTCTCTCTCTCTGTGTGTGTCTGTCATGAATAAATAAATAAAATCTTTAAAAAGAAATAAGTATCTATTCTGTATCACATGCTGACTTGAAATTTATTTTATGCTTCTCTCAATCAACCTAAAAGTTAAAGATCACTCATTCTCACTAAAATTAAAACACACACACACACACACAAAAACAGGATAATGACAACGGTGACTTTTTTTTTTTTTAACACAGAGGGACCCAAAAAAAGACAGAAAATAAGCCATGCAAATCACAAAATACCATAAGATACATAATAGGAGAGCCACAAATTTCAGGCTAAGAGAATCTGCCACAAGGTTTGGCTTCCTGTGGGTGTATTAAGGATAAATTCATGACAAAGGCTGCTTTGCTCTGCCCTTGAAAGTGGGAAAGCATTTACACAAGAGCAAGTAAAGGGCAAAGCGTTCCCAGCCAGAGAAGCGGTGGGACCAAAGTCATGGAGGTAGAAGAGTATGGAGCACAGCTGGACAGAGGAGGTCGGGAGGGGGGTGGTGGTCATATTTTAAGGGATTATTTCATAAACACAGATAAGAGTTGTACTAAAGGATAAGAAACTTATTTAGTAGGTAATTGAGAGCCTGTAAGCATTTTTCTTCTCTTTTATAACTTCTATGAATTTGTGTATTTCATTAGTTTCCCCTTTTATTTCCTCTCTATTAGAGTACAAACAGATAATTTATTATTCTTGGTTAGCTTTATAATTTGGTCCATATGCTACAGAGTATTGAAGCTTGATTATGATTAAAGAGAAAACTGGCCATCATGCAGACCTGGATGATGTGTAGATTAGATATGAGAGTATAATTTAGGGGACCCCGAAGCATGGGCTTGGTCAGGGACGCTTCCAACCAGCTCTTTTCTGACAGAGTGGTACAGGGACCACTAGAGACCATTCATAGTGATGGCAGGGGAGTAGATAGACCATTTTCCAAAGCAAGTATTCAAAGACCATGAAATTAGCCAGTCTTACCCACTGATTTAGTTCATCTCACTTGCTTCCCATTTGTCTTTCCAAGTTAGATTCTCAGTATTACATTTAATTTTTGGACCTATCCAAAATCCTTTCAATAAACTTAGTTTCTACTTAAGTTAGTGGAAGTCAGATTCTGTTGCTTACAGGTAAAAATCTTTCTTTGTTACTGTGTTGAATAAGAAAGATACCAGATCCACTTTTCTGGAACTTACTCTATAACAGGTACTAGAAGATGAATATTGTGTTTCTATACATGTCAGTAAATTAGATAAATCAGTTATGCAGCCATTACAGAGATCCTACTGAGTAATAGGGATGTCTTGAACTAGAGTTTGAGCAGTAAAATGGAAGGGAAAAAAATAAGAAGGCAAAATCTATAGAATTTGTTGCCTAAGGTGTGTTTAGAGTATGGTAATGGAGAGGTAAAAAAATAAACAAATGAAAAAAAAAAACACAACTTATATTCATAACTGCCCTTCCAATCCAAATCCAGTGCAGCACACTGTAGATTCTCAACCAACACTGAGTGAATGAGGGGCAGGCCTGCTCAAGTTTACCAACATACCAAAGAGTGACAGGTCTTCTCTAACTGCAGTGACACCTCTGCTTGGACCTATCTGCCCTCACTCCTGTAGCCCCTTACCTGCCCCCTCCTTCTCTATGGACCCTCTCCCCTTTTTTTTTCCTTTTTTTTTTGTCATTCTCTATGCTATTCCCTCTACTTTCCTGATCCTCTTGTACAAATCCAGCTGTGTGTAATCATAAAATGGAAGATTTGGAAGGGACTTAAGACATTATCTATTTCATTTCCCTGATGACAAAACATGGTCTAAAGAGTTTTAATGATTTTCTCAGAATTATATAATTATTTAGTGACACAGTCATGATTTAGACTTGCGTCTCCAAATTGTAGTCCAGCTGTCACCTCTCCATCACTCAATATATGTCTACAATATATATCATGTAATACTTTATGGAACTTCTCTCCCTAGATCTTCAAGTAAGTCAAATGGAATTGCAGTTTATTTGGTGGTATTGCATGCTCCTGACATGTCCACTATTGGGGTCCTTAGATCTCTGTTTGAGAAATATCGGTTTAATGGATGATTTTCTAAAAACATCTGCCTGAATCAACCATGAAGCAATCCTGTAAAAACTATACCTAGAAGTTCTGGATTTTGGATGGGCATTTGTTTGGAGGTGCTTCTTTTATAGGAAATCACAGAAAGAAGACATGGGTTAATGTGAAAGATCTTACTGTTTGTTGTCTGTTTTTTTTTTTTTAACTGTCCACAAAAATAGAATCTGTTCTATAACATGGTGGTTAATATCCTACTTAGGCAAATGTTAGAAACCCAATTACTGTTATTATGATTATTTAGAATTATAGTAACTATACAGCTCAGATTTCTTAGGCCTTGTATTAAATTAGGCTCTGGAGAAGAAACAGACAAGTCCTCTTGGTCTTGAAGAGCTCAAAACTAGTGGGAAGTGATATGAAATTCATGTATGTGTATGTATGTATGTGTATGTACATATGTATGTATGTTTATATGAATGTGGCAAGAGCTAAGAATAAGTAGGGGAAGGAAAAAAAAACTGGAGATAGAGGACAGAGAAGACTTTGATAGAACAGTGACTGGAAGGAACTAAGAATGGAAATGACGAAGAGCATTTACTCTTGGAAAGACAGGGTTTTCCCTTAGACAAGCAGTGACAAAAAAAGACTTTGGTTGTGGATACAGGTACATTTAGAGGTAGAAAAGAAACATTGAGGGAATTTGTAACCAAAGGGAGTTATCTTCTATTCAAAGGATATAAGAACATTGGCAGAGTAAAGAAAGTTGAAGGGAACAGCTGGGAGACTTGAGGATTGTTGTAGAAGAGCAGTGTCAGGAATGGGAAATAGATGTGTGTAGGACCCTTGACCACAAGATAAGATGATAAGCCAAAATTTTTTGTGGTCTCAATGAGCATGACCAGCAGCAGCCTGGAAAATACAAATGGTTATAATAACCCAACTTCAAAGACTGATAAGGCCATTATGACTGAACATGACCTGAATACTTGTATGTATTACATGAACTTAGTCTGATCAATAAATATGTTAATACATGTGAAGTGCTTAGCACAATGCCTGGTACATAATTATAACCCAAATTTATCTTTAAAAAATTGGATACAGGGGCACCTGGCTGGCACAATCAGTTAAGCATCTGCCTTCAGCTCAGGTCATGATCCCGGAGTCCTGGGATAAAGCCCTGCATCAGGCTCCCTATTCAGCAGGGAGTCTGCTTCTCTCTCTTCCTCTGCCCCTCCCCTCATTTGTGCATGCACATGTACACTCTCTCTCAAATGAATAAATTTTAAAAATCTTTAAAAAATAAAAAATTGTACATAAAATAACTCAAATTGCTGATTGAGAATGGAATTGAGATGCTAGATCATTAGATCTGAGATTATTAGGAAAAAAGTATAAAGGAGCTATTTTTTAGAAGAAAGTAGGAAGCACTGAGAATCTAGAATTGTATTTTTTCTTGTTAATTATGTTTGAAAACAGGTTTAAGAGTAGTAATCAGAAAGTAGAGGATATAATGATTAGATGAAGTTTTCAACCCTAAAATTTCAGACAGGATAATAAGATCCAGGATGTTAGTGTGGGAGCGGGTTATGGAAGAAAAATATTTATAAAGATGACTAGAATTAAAGACATCAACAATTTACCTAGGCTGAGTGACCTGGAAGTTGAAATTGCCCAGAATTTAGCATTCAGAGAAAAACTATTTGGAGGATAAGAACCCAGATGTGGGGGTTAAAATGAAGAAACTTAAATTTTTTTTTAAATTTCTATTTTTCTAAAGTAATCTCTACACTCACTCAACCTGGGGTTTGAACTTACAACATAGGGCTTGAACTCACAACTGAGCCAGCCAGTCACCTCAAAAAGAAGAACCTTTTAAATAACCCTGTAAAAATAAAATTTTGAATGAGGCATAGAATAGCCAGAAAGACAATGAATGGCTCTGTTATTTAACATTGAAAATCTGAAGACTTTAAAATGGCCACTGAAGTGGAAGCATCATAAATAGCAGACATTCAGATTTCAGTTAAGGGAATGATTTCATACAAGAAGAGTTATTGATAAGATTCTTGTTTTGACTAAGAATTCTAGATTGTACAGTAGAAACAGTGAGGAGAAGGGAGATGGCCTAGGAAATGGGAGAAAGCTAATATGGATGGAAAAGGTAGTTTGCAAGATGGTAGGTGATCAGAGAATCCTTACCTTGTGCAGTTATTGTGAACCTTTAGAAATAAAGAAAGTAGACAATAATGCTCTTTTAATGAAACTAACTTTCCTCTACATCTCGTAAGGAACCCTAATCAATTTGGCTGCCTGGAGGACATGAAAACTTTATGGGCAGAAAGCAACATCTACTGTTCTTCCTTCAATGTATACATAGTATTGTACCTGGAAACAAATGTTATTCATCAGGAATTCCCAATTCTTCTATATATGGATAGCTAAAACAATACTTGCACACCCCATCTGCTGAAGAATCACTTACCTCCAAAGACACATTCTGGGGTGAAAGTGATATCATCAAGGGCAATAAAGATGTCCTCATTTCCAGCCAAATCAGCTTCAAATGTCACTTTAAATGCACTGTTACTGGAGAGAAGCACATGTGTATACCGCCAACCGCTTCTTTTGTTTCCAATCACTGACCACACCAGGATGTTTATAGTCCAGATTCCTCAATGGTATATAACTAATAATAAGGGGGGGGGAGTCCACTCTTTACAGTACAGCTTGGATGTTAGAGATATATGGGCATCCTGGTTGTTAATGAAAGAATGGAATCTGGCAATGTGACAGCACAACACCTTGACTATCATACTTTTTTCAGTACAAATTGGAGTTACAGAATGAGTTATATTTTCTTTAAGTAGTCAGACCTCTGTTTGATTTTGTCATGTCTATTTTTTATTTTTATTTTTTTATTTTTTTAAGATTTTATATATTTATTCATGAGAGACACAGAAAGAAAGAGGCAGAGACACAGACAGAGAGGGAGAAGCAGGCTCCATGCAGGGAGCCTGATGTGGGACTGGATCCCAAGGACTCCAGGATCACGCCCTGGGCCAAAGGCAGGATCTAAACTGCTAAGCCACCCAGGCTTCCCTTTCATGTCAATTTCTGTGCATCATAGTAGGCGTGGCCAAAACCTGTAACTGTCATAAGATTCTAAAAGGCTGGAAGAACTATAAAACTAGAATTTCTCATTGCTAAAGGACTTTGTCCATGTTTTGCCAAGGTTCTTTTAAAAGAAGAGAACATTTATAATAAGCGAACATGACTGTGTACAAGCCATTTCAAAAGCCAAAGTAATGCGCAGGACATATTTACTATTTGGACAAATGGGGAATCTTCCTGAATTAACTAACATCAATATTCAAGACTTTTTAAGTGTAAGGACTAACAGATTCAATAAATAAAAGTGAAATAGCAATAAAGTTAGCTTTGAAACCAACCACCAGGTCAAGTTCCAGTAATCTTTAAACAGTAAAAAACAATTCAAAACAAATTTTAAAAATGCCATTTCCCACTGTTCTTCAAAAAAAATCTGTATTCTAAACAACAAAAACACACAAGGTTGTAAATATATTTTTTCTATATTACCTTTCTATACCTACATTATTTCCCTAGAATAGTAATGTATGTTAGCAATCACTTACACAACTCTTTCTTTTTACATGGGAAAAATATGACTCAGAAAAAAGAAAACCCATGAATAATTTTCTTCTATTGGAACAGTTTTCGTTCAATGACATTCTTCCCTACCAAAAAAATTATATTTTTTCATTTTTCTCAGCACCAAAATTTATCTAAGGATAATTTATCCTACAAAAGTTTATCCAGGGACACCTGCATGGCTCAGCAGTTAAGCACATCTGCCTTCAGCTCAGGGTGTGGTCCTGGAATCCTGAGATCAAGTCCCACACCAGGTTCCCGGCATTGAGCCTGCTTCTCCCTCTGCCTGTATCTGCCTCTCTCTTTCTGTGTCTCTCATGAATAAATAAATAAAATATTTTTTTAAAAATGTATCTAAATTTTATACTATCAGGAGAAAATTACTACTCCTCATTCTGCTATATGTAATGATACTATATTGGCATTCCAGAAATTTTTCCAAGAGCCACCAAAATATGTAGAGCCAGAAATTAGCATGCTACTAATATTCACTATTATAAAAAATCTAAGTCAGAAATCCAACTATTAATGGAAGATTAAAAATCAGTAACACAATATGATGATCACAGAAAAAGAAAAATAGAAAAACTTGCCCCAATCTGGAAATCTGAAAAGTGAGATTTAATATCAATGGTATGGAAAAGCACACATTTTGTAAGCAAAAATTAGTTTTTATATCGATTCCTCAATAAATGAAGATTTATTGAAGATTTATTGAAGATTTATGAAGATAAGATTCAGTATGAAGAGATTTTGGCTCAAAACCACATTTCCAGTCTCACACATAAGCACTCTAAGATTTAAAGCTCTAAGATCTGGTGGGTACCTATTTCTCAAATTAATACAAAATTCCTACATTTTTAAAAAATTAAAAAGGTAAGAAGCTTCCAATTAAATGTGATAGCAGGACAACTTTATAAAGTCAACATAAGTTGAATTATCTTTTTATCTTTATAAATCCTGGCTTACAACATAAAGATTTAAAAGGGGATGGCTTTATTTAGAACTTTTTTTCCAGAAAAACCAATTCCAAAAAACAAATTACATGAAAATGCAACCCAATACTTTCTTTTTTCAAAACCCTAGTGTAAATGTATTTTATTAATTTATCTATTTTTATTGTTTTTCATTTCATTTTTCTCTCTGCTTCAATCATGTTAATCTTCAATTAATCTTACTTGCTATTGCCAAATTCCATTTCCTTCATTCTCCTTTTACTCTGCTTCTCCTAAATCCATAATGACATCCCCTGCCTGTTCTCCCTCCCCCTGTGCCTTTATGAGCATTAACTGTCTAATAGACTTCACCTATGTTACCCATTATTTCACCATACAGCAGTCCACATTAATTCTCATCAATTTCACTAATTCACTAATTAATTCCAGTTAAGCTTTTTGACAGTCTCAAGGGTTGTTTCAATTGTAACATGTATTTATAATGCTACTAACATATTAGATTGAATAATCGCATGTTATGTACAGTGTTTCTGTAGCTACAATGGCCAATGGTAAAAATAGGAGAATCATTTAAGGACTCCATATAATGTTAGGGTTTTTTTATGGCCAATGAGAAACCCACAAAAGGCTAACATTATTTATTTCTGTTTTCCAATAAAACAATATTCATTATATTCAGAGAAATTTCTGTGATAACTGTCAGCAAAATATTTATTTTTCAAAAATCTATTACTTTGAAAAAGTAAAATGGCTTATTTCCTTAAATAATTCTAATTTATTCGTTATATTTTATTACACATATTTTACTGAAAACCATTTTATGTTTCAATAATAACTTATTATTTGAGATAGCCTCTAAAATCAGCCACCGAATAAATAATTTGGCTACTTCAATCCTGATATTCTAAGTTGTGGTTGGACACACACCCATTAACATAATTATACTTAACATTATATATTATAAAACAATCATTTTATCATGATTTTTATCATAAAACAATATGGATTCAAGAATAAATAAAAATGTTATAATGTTTAGATATTAAATCAAGATTATTATATTCAAGAATGATATAATTGTAACCGCTTATGACATAGGGCAGGGAAAACTTGAAGAGAACTTTCTAAATCAAAACATAGAAAAAATGATATGTCATCTAAGTGCAAATATAATACTATTCAATTAAATATATGTTACATTTTCTGAGGAGGAAACTCCTCAACACTGATTTAGAATGAACACACCTTTGGAGGAAGATGTTCAATAAAAGATACGATGAGGTAACAGAAAATATGAGTTAATGATTAAATTACAGGATAGTATGAAAACCAGAGACCAGCTATATCAATAATACCCACAAATGTAGGTTTTCCAGGTGAAGAAGTAAAAGAAAATAATTAGCAGATTATCCTAAAGTTCCTCTCCAGCCAGCCACAAAAATCCAAGTGCCTTCAACATGGAAGGTAGGCTGGTACTGATTTAGGGTTTTCTAATGGACACTTCCAGATATCAGAAACTCTTTATCCATTTCATTATATATTTAGGTTATTGAAATTAGTGCATGAAATGCATCAGGAAGATAAAACCTTGGGTTTTCTTGATCCCAGTTACTCCTGGCTATTCTGCTAGATGTCTTTTCTTTAATCACCACTGATAGGGTAAAACAACGAACTGAGCTACACGATCCTTTTTAATGCAGAGTTTCTCTTGACTTTGTTTGAAAACACTCAAATTTATAAAATAAAGAAAAAAATCAAGGGAAATTTCCTTCAAAAAGAAGAATTTATGGGCATTAAAATTATTTAATAAAAGAGAAATAGCATCCATATTAATGAAAATTTAGTGCTTTCACATATGTTATGTGACCTTAGTACACAGCTGAACATAGAGTAGGACTATTGACTGCCCTCTACAAATCTGGAATTAGAATTGTAGACAGAGATTAAACAACCTATTACTTGTACACATCAGAGGCTTCCAATCCTCCATATGGCATAAAGAAGAGATTAGAAATCATCATACTAGTTCTAACAAGAAAAAAGCAGAGCTAAAAATCAACAGCTATTCTTAGATCCATCAGACAATTGATGTCAAAGAGCTATCATGAATACCACCCCCAAAATTCAGAAGAATAATAGGTAGATACAAAGAATCACAGCTTACTGGGGCAGAAGCCTCAGGACAGAAACGCCATTGGGAACCAGCAGCAGGGTAGGGAAACTTGGACTGAAACTGATGAATTGCTGAAGGCTCACTATAGACAAGTTTCAGGGTTAAACACTCTTTTTTTTTTTCTTTAGAGACTTTTTCTTTATTTATTGACGGGAGACATAGAGAAAGAAGCAGAGACATAGGCCGAGGGAGAAGCAGGCTCCATGCAGGGAGCCTGATGCAGGACTAGACCCCAGACTCAGAATCATGCCCTGAGATGAAGGCAGATGCTCAAATGCTGAGCCACCCAGGCATCCCAGGGTTAAACATTCTGAAGGGACTCTACACTTTTGTGAGTTTGACCTATGGGAATGTCACCAGTTTCTCATATTGAAAATTAGAAAAAAAATTCCCTCAAAATTTTGGCAAATGAAGGGAAAAGTTGACATCGGAAATATACCCCAACCATTCTGTTCTTAGCAAGACCTGTGCTCAAGACTCAAGACAAACTACTTAAAGAGATTGTAATTTGCTGAGGTTTAACCAAACTGGAGAGAGAAAAATACCTAACTCCAGTCCTAGCAGCTTTCCAGGTGGAGAAAGGGAAAGAAGCAATTTAGCTTTCCTGTATTACCTCAGGAGTGGGAAAACAACCAACTAACCAACCAACCAACCAACCAAAAACAAAACACACAAACAAAAAAACATCTGAGAGGCAATTATGAAGGCTACAACCCAGTGGCACTAAAAGAGTGCCACTCTTTTAGGTCCCTGAGACCTAAGCATAGGCCCCACAACTTACCAGGGACATGAGTCAGGCATCTGTGTAAGAACAGGCAAATACAAGGAAATAATAGCACATGGCAGACCTTATTTAAAATAAATATCTCTGGAAACTGAAAGGTAAAC